GACTTTATGTAATTATCGCCCACGACTTCGTCTGCGGACTAAAGTAGCCTATATTCCCGAAATTTGCCCACCTATTCCGGAGATTATCCGAAACAAATGTGGCATTGCAGTCAAAAAAATTGCTTTTGGTTAGTAACTACGCAAATTTATCATATTTAAGAATAGTTATTCAATACTACAGACAGACATTTAAATTTTATTATACATGTATTATAATCAAACTAGGCGGAGGCATATGGTCCCTTTTCCTTCCCAACCTTTTTCTTTTAAGAAAAAGATGGAAAGTGAACTTGGATTTGACGGTGTAGGAGACGCCTAGGAAGGAGAAATATCATTTTTTGTGCGTTTCCCTCCATCCATTATGAGTATGCAACGCATCCGCTAATACGAATGTTTATGGGCAGCGGTTGATTTGCTATTTTGGCGGTTTCTGATGGCCGCCTGCTTATTTGCCACCTTATGATATTTAAAAAACTTAATCTACACTAAGGGACGGCTTTAATGAACATTAAACAAAGGAAACTTGCTATGTGTTAGGTTATGTTTTTACAATCGAAATAACCAAAACGTTTTTAAATGTAATTGCTAGTTGTAAAATACAAGGCGTTTATTCCAGCGACAATTCCATGGAAGACATTGAAGTATGAGAAATTAAAGGAGTTGTACCTTATATGGAAGACTGGTATCAGGTTACCGCAGGATGGCTCCTACCCTGGCGCGCTGCTGGCGCTGCTGCAGGAGGGGCTGCAGCTGCCAAGAGAACAGAGGATGGATCTACAAACCCTGCACGCCACGCTGCAAACACTTAAGGTAACCTTTAAAAACTTCGCCAACATTTAAATAATCAATTTGTGTGTATTTGTCATAATAATGGACAATTAGGCATTTTTTTAAATTGTAACAGACTACTCTGAGTACAGTAAAACGCATTCTAGATACAATTTAGGTTGAGACTTGAACAGCAATAATAACAAATAAAAATAGCATGCCTAGAAAAAAAATAGAATTTCTATTGTTTGTTAGTGCAAAAATATTTCTGTACAATATATTCATTTGTTAGGACCTGTTATAGGCTGTTTGAAAATTATTTAGCATTATATCTATTGCGATAAATAGGTGTTGGTTTTTATTTAAATAAAAAAATAAATAATTAAAAAATTGAAGGCCCAGGCTCCTTTAATTGTACTAGTTAAGGAGCCAACGCAACATTGACTAATGTGTGCTTAGTGTACAATATTCATATTATAATAGCTTTCGCCCGCGACTCCGTCCGCGTGGAAATAAAAGAATCAAAATTGAGTAGCCTATGTGTTCTTCCAGACTATCCTCTACGTCTATGCCAAATTTCATCGAGA